AAAATGGTATGTAAAGGAAATTTACCTTGTGGACATTATTGTGAAAAAATTTGTCATGTCGGAAAAGAATGTGGAAATTGTAAACAACCTTGCAATCTTGGGTGTTCACATATTAAGTGCAAAGGAAATTGTGATCAGCCATGTAAAATTTGTTGGGAAAAATGCGATTGGTATTGTGAACATCAAAGAAATTGTGAATCGTTGTGTTCATTGCCTTGTTCACGTTTACCTTGTGATATGAAATGTGGTAAGAAGTTAAAATGTGGACATAGTTGTAATGGTGTTTGTGGTGAAGTATGTCCCAGTGAAAAATATTGCATAATGTGTGCATCTAGTAATATTAAAAAACAAGGTAATTTTTATCTTTAAAAATTTTCCATATTTTTTACATAATTAATTTTAATTTTATTATTATTATTTTTTTAGTTGTTGATGGTGATAAAAAATTTGAAGAGGTTGATTGGAATGCTAATAACATGATTGTATTAGAATGCGGTCATGTTTTTACAATGAAAAAAATGGATGAAATCATGGAAATTCAAAAGTATTATTATAAGAAATCACACCAATGGAAATCAACTAGTTCATTTACAGCAGAGCCGGAGCATTTAGAAACTTGTCCAGATTGTCGATGTCCTGTTAAAAATGTACGTAGATATGGTAGGATTATAAAAAAATGTATAATCAATTCACAAAGAAAAAATTATTTGCCTGAATGGATCCATCAGTTTAAAAGTATTAGTGAAAAATTTAATGGGCTTTACAAGAATTTAAAATCAAATGAAAAAAAATTTTTGAAAGATTTGCAAAATATAATTAGGAATTACGATGATCAGGAGGATTACACTAATACTAAAAAAACAAAAGAAACTAATAATAATAATTATTTAATTGTCAAAACTTTTGAAATTCGAAATATAACGAATCTGTACGACATTCCTATTAAATACCAAAACTTATGGAAAAAACATATTAGTTCATATTTAAATAATTATGAGAATTTGTACAAGTTCATATATGAAAAAAGATTTTCACCCCATATAAATGCTTTCTTTCATTCATTAAAGAAAATGTAAGTATTGTCAGAATTCGAATTTTTTATTTCCTTTCAAAGAAAAAAAAATTAATTTGATTCATTATTATTTATAGATGTATGTCAAAATACGGAATGACATTGGAAGATAAGTTTGGAAAATTTACTGTAGATGAACATGGATGTAATTCTACAAAAAATATAGAAAATTTGCAATTGATTGTTCAAATGATAGGTGGAAATTCTATATTGAAAACAGATGAAAGTTTTTATGCTCATATGTTGTTTACATCTTTTGAAGCTCAAAAAACTATATTAAATGAAATTAATCTAGTAATCCTAATGATTATCAAGATCACCAACAATGACAACAAAAATAATGATACTAATAACTGGATTCAATTTGGCAAACGTATTTTTAATTCCATGAAAACAATTCATCAAATTATTCATCAAATCATGGCAAAAGACTTGAAAGAAGCTGAAAAAAATAATTTGAATTTTGTTAGCATATCATTGGACCTTTTGGAGATTGAATATACATTTAATAAATTTAAATTTTTAGGCATTAACAACACAGATTGTTACGCTTTTCAATTGGAGAAAGATGAAATTACAAAAAATTTGAGCGATATCATCAATAAGATATCTAAGATATCTACAAGCATCACGAATTCCAAACCCATTAATAATCATGTCACTACAAAAGCAGAAATGTTTTGTAAAGATATTGAAACTTATCAAAAACTTATCAATCAAAAACTTTTTGCAAAAATAGAAAACCTTGATGTAATATTGAGACAACTTTTTAATGAAACAGTTACAAATATTTTAGCTGTTTACCATATTTCTAAATTTAAATTTGTTGGAATTATTGGTGACGAAGATAAAGATGAAAATTTTGACAAAGAATTGCTTGCTATTGGTGATAACAAACTAATTACTGAAAGATTTTGAAGATTATTATTTGTAATAATATGTAATAACATTAATATTTAATATTTAATATTTAACATTTAATATTTAATAATTAATTAGTATTCTAGGTAATTTTTACTTTAATTATTAAATACAGTAGTAGTAGCAATATTAATAAAAATAAGTATTATTTGATTAATTTTTAAGAAAAATTCTCCAAACAAAATAAAATTTGAGATCTTATTAAGCGTTATAAATTTTTACACATTTAAAATTGAATGCAAATTCTCGATATGAAAAATTAAAAAATGATCTAAAGAAAGCAAAAGAAGAAACTGTTAACAAAGAACAAGACAATGAATCATTCACAAAAAAAGCTGCAAGTAATCCTTAAAAGTGGTTTAGACGAGATTTGAAAAGAAAGTAAGTTTTTTTCCTAAAAAAAATCTACTTTTTTTTTATAAAAAAGAATTCGTGAAGTCATTTATAGATTTGAAATGAAAAATTCAGTAAAAAGATTCGAAATTAGAAGAAAGATACACAAATCCAACTTTGTAGGTGTTAGTATTCCTGTCTCTGAAATTGATATATTGATATTAATACAATTCAATTTTAAAAAGGTGGTTTGCTTCTAGTAGGGCTGTGAAATTTCGCTGTACGACTGTACTTTGTATATGTAGTTGAATTCTTCGTTGTGGTCGTACACCACGTACTAGGAACGATTAATTTTCTGCGACGATAAAATATTATAACAACAAAATATTAGCCGTTAACCCTATCATCATGTTAACATCATGAAGTCATAAGAAAGTTAGAAGTCTGTTCTTTATGTCATACAAATAATTACAGTAAAACTATATTATAAATCAATATTATAGTAGTCACATTTAACCTTTCTATAAAATTTAAATTTTAAAGGTGAATGAACGAATACATGCTTTATTAATCAATATTACACGGAAATCGTAAAACACAGGTATATTTTCTATATAACAAATTTAATCAATCGTTTGCACAAAAAAAAAATTTTTTTTATATATTACTCGAAACCCGTTTTTCCTAGAACGCCCCCAAATGTAGACTAATAATCCTGAATAATGCGATCGTAACTAATTGATATTAGTAATGGTACTGATGATGTGCCTATATTTAGAGATGCGATCCGCGGATACCCGTCATCCGTTCATCCGTCATTTATCTCAAAAAAATCAATCCGTAATCCGTTAATTGCTCAAAAAATACATCCGTCGGATTCAAACGGATTATCCGGATCATCCGTGAAATTGAACGGATCATCCGGATTGTACGGATCATCCGTGGTTTGGACGGATAATTCAGCAATATTAGTATAAAATGTTACAAAAAGAGTAGTAATGCTAGTAATTTATGACAATTCATTTATATTTATTATAAAGTTAATTCAGTGGGTGAATACATTCAACACAACTTGCATTTCTTTTTAAAAACAAAATTCGTTTAATTAAATTTCCTGCGGATCCATCTGTTTACAAGTCTTTTCAGTTGTAATTGGTACTTGGCATTTTGAACCTTTTTTACCACTAGGTAAATTTATTTCTGCAAACCAATTCCACACCCAACTTTTTTTTAATGGTACATTTTTTAGTTTGTGTTTAGTAATTTTAGTCTGTTCATTAGAAATTACATTTAATACATTTCCATCCAACTCTTCTTCCGAATCTATATAGGTAAGTTCACTCTCATTATCATTACCATTATCATTGCCATTGTAATTATATTCGTTATTATCATTATTCATTGTGAGTAATCTTACAAACTAGTAAAGAAGCAACGGCATCAAAAATGAATTAGATAAAGATGATAAAAAGTATTATATATTTTAAATTTTTTTTTTTGATGTTACATTATTATTTGTACTAGTACATAAAAAATTTTTTTTATTCACATGATATTTTATTTACACAGATCATCTGGATATCCTATAATTTCTAAAATTTCAATCCGCAATCCGTTAGCACTTTAAAAAAGCCATCCGTCCATCCGGATTGTTTTGCGGATATCCGGATTGACCATCCACGGATCGCATCTCTAGTTACACGAAATAAATTTTGTATTACTGTGCCACATTACATCTTCGCAATTAAGAACGAAAAAGAACTGTTACAGTATTGAATTCATTGATAAATTAGCAAATATTTGCAAATCTATACAATCATTAAGAATATATTATAATCAATACAACAATAAATTTCAAAATAGTCTGACTAAATTAATTAAAGCACAAAATCAAATAAAGCAATTAACCATTGATTCAAACACTGATCAAGTTTTATCAGATAATTTCAAAAAAGCAATACTCTCACACACACATTCAATAATTTATTTATTCTAGCAGTGGAGTATATGATATAAATAATATATTATTACCAACTCTATATAATTTAAAAACTTTATCATTAAAAGCACTTGGTACTGGTATCAATGTAAAATATTTGAAAAATAATTCACTGCCACATACTGAATCTATGAAGTTATATTATCTTAATCAATCATTTCTATCAGAATTATCTAATTTTATTGACATCAATAAAAATCTGGATTTTTGTGTTACTATATACAATAATGAACTTTTGGGAAAGTTATTTCAATCAATTGCACAACATTGTAAAAATCTAGTAGACTTATCAATAGTTTATAAGGATGAAATAGATCAGGAATTAATGGAGATATTCAACAATTGTACTATTGAATTTAAACTAGTTTTTGTGGGTTTTTTCGAGATTTCATCTCTCTATACCCCCAGCATACATAGATGGTGATAGAATTTTAGCAGTTTTGGGTCAATTACCAAAAAAATTAAAATCAATAATTTTTAATATTGCTGTTTTTAATATTAGTGACAATTCTTTTGATAATCTAATGAAGAACTGGAGAGAACCCAAACCTTTTACAATAAAATTTGGACTGAATTATTTACTTTTATATCAGAATTTTGTTGCAAATAGTCAAATAGATTTTGAATTCTATCTAAAGCAATTGGATATGATATTGGTGTATTCATGGTTTCTTCTTCTTCTTCTTCAGGTGTTTCTTGTACTGCAGAAATTATCTCATCATCATCAATCATTTCGGCAATTTCTATTCTAGAGTCGATATTAATATAGTTGCTTGCTGTGATATCCTCAACATTCATTTGATTAATAAGTGTTTGAACATCATTTTCTTCATATTCTAATTCATCTGGTTCTTCAAATATTTCCATTTCCTCATTAGGTAGAATACCTGTTCTTTGCCAACAACGGTAGATTGTATCATCAGTTACATTATCCCAAGATTGTGCAGTCCAATTAATTGCATTCAAAATATTTAATTTTGGAATCTCAACACCAAATTCTTGGTGCTCATCAAATGCTTGAATCCTATCTTGGCATAGTAATTTTCTATAATGAGCCTAATACAAAGATAAGGCAAATTTTATTAATATTAAAAATAAAATTTATAAAAAAAAAGATGAATATTATAATTACTTTAAATGATCGTATTATGCCCTGATCAATTGGCTGAAGATGAGAAGTTGTGTTTGGTGGAAGAAAATGTAATTTAGTATTGCTCAACTCTTCACCTTCTTCCAATTGATGTGATGAAACATTATCTACTAATAATAAAACATTTCTTCTCCTTTTTTTCATTTCTTGATTAAATTGTCTAATCCACATTTGGAAAATAGAACGTTGCATCCATGATGAATTATTCCAATAGTACCATACAGGAAGTGATTTTTTATCAATATTATGAATACAGCGTGGATTTTTAAATTTATATATAAATACTGGAGGTAATTTATGAGTTCCGATTATATTACATGCAAGCATCACAGTAATCCTATCCTTTGATTTCTTTAATCCAGTGAGAGGTCCACTAGCAAGAGATTTATGGGGTTCTAATTTCCAATAAAGACCAGTTTCGTCTGCATTATATACATCCTCCAATTCATACTGTGCAATTATAGATTGTAGTTCAGTTCTAAATGCAGGTAATTCACTAATTGGTGCACTTGCTGCTTCTCCTGATTTATAATGTTCTTTAATATTATTTCTTTTTTTAAAATTTGAAATCCATCCCTATTTAAAAATCAATGATGGATATTTAATAGATCTGATAAAATTAACACCACAATTTAAAATAAAAAAAAAAAAAAGAAATTGATGCTTACTTGTGATGATTTGAAATCAGAAATATTAAGTCTTTGAGCAAATTGCACTGCCTTTTGACTCAAGATCGCACCAGTTATTGTATAGTTAGCTTCATTGGCAAGATTCACCCAAATCAACAATGCTTCCTCTAACTGTGGCCATCCACCTCCACAATCACGTTTTTTATTAGCATCTGTTGAATCTTCTTCAACTGCAAGCCATTTATCTTTGGTTCTCAAAATATCACCCACAGTTGATTTACTTATTTCAAATAATTCAGCAATTGTTTCATGTGACTTGGATGGATTATCACGTTTATATTCACATAATTCCTTTTTTTTAATAGCTGTAAGAGTTTTTAATTTCCTTCCTTTTTTACTTCCGCCTTTACTAGTAGTGTTCATTTTAATTAAAATTTTTATTTTCTGTTCTTTTTAAACGAAGTTAATATTTATTTATTTTTAACAATCTGTAAGAGTTTTTAATTTCCTTCCTTTTTTACTTCCGCCTTTACTAGTAGATCCAGATGTTCCTTCAGCATTCATTTTAATTAAAATTTTATTTTCTGTTCTTTTTAAACGAAGTTAATATTTAAATTTATAAATGACAGGTACATGGCAGTAAATTCATCCTTTATATAAGAAATTTGGTAAAGGATCTTTATTCTACGAATCAAGGAGAGAAAGGATAGAAATTGATTGTATTTCATTTTATTTCAAATTAGAAATAATTTTCATGGATTTAAAATTGTTATCTTTATTTGAGACAAAGGATAGATTGATGTATTTTATTTCAGATAATTTTATGGATTTAAAATTGTTATCTTTATTTGAGACAAAAGGTTAGAAATTGATTGTATTTCATTTTATTTCAAATTAGAAATAATTTTCATGGATTTAAAATTGTTATCTTTATTCGAGACAAAGGATAGATTGATGCATTTTATTTCAGATAATTTTTATGGATTTAAAATTGTTATCTTTATTTGAGACAAAAGGTTAGAAATTGATTGTATTTTATTTTATTTCAAATTAGATCTAATAATTTTCATGGATTTAAAATTGTTATCTTTGTTAAAGACAAAGGATAGATTGATGTATTTTATTTCAGATAATTTTCATGGATTTAAAATTGTTATCTTTATTGGAGATAAAGGATAGAAATTGATTGTATTTATTTCAGATAGATCTTTATTCAAACAAAGGTTAATTGATAATAATTTCACAGATTTAACAAATTAATGAGACAAGATAAAAATTATGTATATAGATTTGGCTAATAATTCGCCATTGTTTCTAATCAAACCGTAAATAAAGCCACATATATAATCTATGGTTAAAAATAAATTTTATTTTTTCGTCCCGTGTAACAAAAACTAACAACCAATCAAAATTCGAAAACTTAGTCATGTGCGTAATATATCACGTGCAACTGACTTATCGCGACTAATTTAATTATACTCGGACTAGGTGACTGACCGACTTAGCTCTTATTGCGACTTTATATAGTTTGACCGACTTATCGAATTTTTTTAAATAGTAAAAAAAAGGGGCGGAAAATTTTGGCCAAGTTAGGCCAAAACCGACTTATCGCGTGACCGACTTATCGAGTTTGCATGTGTAGTAGTAAGCCACCTATTATTTATTGTCCGGTAAGATACTTTATATATAATTTCTATTTATTTTTTTTTTTTTTGAGGATTCTGCCATCTTTAACATTGTAAAATAGTAAATTATAAATCACGGGAAACGAACATATAAATCGGAAATGGTTTACATGTATCACAAAGTGAAAATGTGGAAACGATTATCACGGAATAACTCAACAAGAAATAAACCAGTACAATTTAATAAATGTTACACTAATTAATAAGGCGCACCAATCAAATAAATAGCTCTCGGAAAATAACCCAAATATTGGAGATATAAATATTCCAACATTCTAAAGTGTAACAGATTACAAAGTCTCAGAAAAATATTTAAATGAAAGAATTTTACATGACTCATGATGACTAGAAATTACTTGAAAATAGTTCTAAACAGAAGGTTTAAATAATAATTAAGGAAATACTAATTAATATAAATTAGGATTTCAACAAAGTCGGATAACTAGATGATAGAACCTTTAACATGTATAAATATGTTGTAAATTTCTCTTTCATGAAATAGTTAGTGAGAAGTTAATCAGTTAATTCATTCTTAACTACTTTCTTGTAATAACAATCATATCTTATTAATAAAAATACAAACATAAATATCTATTTAAATAATCTATTGCCAGTGGAATTATCCACCTGCTTCCTAAAAACATATAAACCTCTAACTCGACCTAATTATTAATTAATTACTATCTTACCAGGGGGACGCCTTTGATAAGTATAGTGTGTGAATTCTCTTTTAATCTTATTTTCTTTATTTTTATTTTAGATTAGGCCAACGCCTAAATAAGTGGAAACCCTAGCTAGGTGTGGTCAGTAAAGAAACACTGAACCATCAGAACATAACACAACAGTATCAGGGAAGATACTGGGATTATTATCAGAAGGGATAATAATTGACACGTTCCGGCTCAGGCAGAAAACATAGCAACTGCTGAGAAAACGTTACCGGACGGGAAGTAAGAAAACTTGCCCTGCAGAGAGTTAAATAGCTTGAACGCTATAAAACAAAGAAAGTAATCAAAGAATTACACAACTGGATACTGCCATAGGAAGGGATAAATAATATTATAACCAAATCAATAGATTTGTGTGAGATGGAATTTTTGATCTCACAACATAAAAAAAAATTTTAATTTTTAATAACGTATGTATAAATTACTTATATTATTTACATTACTTATATTACTGCTTTACCTGTTCATTATTCACTCACTACTTATGATTATTATAATGGTTTTAATTTCATTATCGCTTGTAGAATTTTAACTACAAGAAGTAAAATGTCATTTAATATTAATATATCTTTTATTTATTTAATATAGTGTCTAAAAGTCATTTTTGCTACAAATTTGACAAAACTCAGAAAAACATAAAGGTATTTGCCTTGTGAACTCAACTTTGGTGGATCGGCTGCTTCAAAACACTTGTGTATAAAGTTTTATATGTAAAGTTTGATTTTTTACTATGAAATGCGCATCATTTTTAATTTTTATGGCGTGACAGTTTTGGATTCACAAGATCTATATGTGTAACATCGAGTTGTCCCCCCCATTTATTTACTTACCCCTAGGTAATACATAATACGTAATTACGAAATTAATTACTAGTCGTGTGACATGTCCTAAAAATCAAGGGGCAAGTTTATTTTCCGAAAAATTTCTGATGATCTACACAATTTTTTATTAATAAAATTTCGAATTGAATGTCTTCATACCCTTGTTTGATACCCTTGTCGTGTAGCAATTGCCACCAAATTTGATACATAACTTATTTGTCATATGTATCTGCTTTAAAATTTTTTTTGAAGCAAGTTGTTAATAAAACCGAAAATAATCTCAGCCTTAAAGTCAAATTTTGACTTTATATTCATATATGTAGAAATCTGTTAGTGCGTACAAAGGTAAATTAAATGTATAACAGTCACCCGTGATGTCACACGATCAATATAGTGACTGCAATAACTATGTAAGATTTATGTGTAACATTTCGATTTTTACTATTAAAATTCAACATAAAAAATTTCCTTCACAGGTGTAACTACTGTTTCTTTTTTAGTAAGATCTATGATCTTTTGCGCAGACATTCTTTGAGACATTATTTATTTCCCTGCAAAATTTGAACCATTGCTTTATAAGAGAATGGAAAAGGATGGTTGTTTGAAAGTTTATGCTTCGGGTTTTAATGATCGACAATATTACTAAACAACGCAATATAACATACAAATAATGCTGTTGGTTTAAGAATTAAAGCAGCGAAATTATTCTTATGGCGGGATTCTTTATTCATAATAATAAATAATATTTAATCATATTGCTGAACTAATCATGGAAGCTTCCTGACATGAAGGAGATTTGAAGATTTGAAAACTTTTTTTTTTCTTTATTTGTTCATTCATATCATTCATATCTATTTGGCTAATACATACATATTTATATTAGACTTGATGATAACAATATTAATGGTTATTATTAATTGATTTTAGATCGCTGGAGTATTAAATTTAAGAATAATTGGTAATAATAAATATTGAGAAAAGATAAGTGGTAAAAAATAATTACATCTCTTTGTTCCTTTAGTTAAATTTTTTTTATTATTTATTTACATTATGCATAATTTAACTTGTAATTATGTAATTACTAAATTTTAACAACTGACTGGCTACTAATAATAAATTCTTTGTTGTTTAATTCTTTATAACAGCAAATTAGTTTTAATATTTAATATTTATATATTTTTTTTCCATTGGTAATTCTTTCAATAAAGAAGTTTAGAAACAAAAGATATTGAAGTGTATAAATAAGGTGTTATTCTTTAAAACAATTATGAAAAAATTCTTTAACTACCTCTGTTATTTAAACATTATAATTATTTATTAATAAAATACAATTTATGGACAAAAATACTAAATGGATTGATTTTTCCAATTTTGAAGATCATTAATATTAAAAAAATTTAATAATTAATAGATAATATGCCACAAAGGGTTAATGCTGTTTTAGAAAGTAGAGGAAACCTGACAAGATATTAATTTTTTTTTTAATAAAATATAATCAATTTAAAGTAGTTTCATATATTTTTTTGATGTCTTTTATGTTTCAAATTAGTGAGCAGTTTGAGGTTGAATTGTTTCATAGAATTTTTTACATTTTATTTTTTCCCTCATTAATTAATCTACCAAATGCTCTAAAATTTTAGAAGTAACTAGATTTAAACATGAGAAACATTTTTTACTTATGCTACAAAGGTTGTTAGAACTTGCTAATGCGGTCAATTTTTGAGTTAAAAATTTTTCAGAAAATTCTGGAATTTTCATTTTTATCTTTTAAGGTTTGTAAAACAACAATGGTTTATTTATATGCAGTGAAACTTCAGTATATTATAGTATTTGATATGAAGATTATTTTTTACTTAATAAGCAAGTGTGATTGGGATAGTAAAATTTTTAGTTTTTGTCATGTCACTTTATTCAATTATTTGT